GGAGGGGTCCCCAGAGGATGAGGGTCCTGCTCCCGGCGCTCAGTCGTGGCTGGAGGGAGCCCCGAAGGGCCCGACACAGCCCCCAGCCCGGAGAGCCAAAGCGATGCTGCAGCAGGGCACGGGGCTGCATTCCGTGCTGCAAAAGGTGGGTGGGAGCTCAGGGACGCAGGCCAGGCCGAGTTTTGATTTCTGTTAACGCTCACACACGCTGCCAGCCCGGAGGCCCAGCCAGCAGAAGGGACTGTCCTGAGCAAGACCCCTAAAACACCCCCGAGCACAAAGCCACCTCCAACCAACATCCGCGCATCGGCATGGAAAAGGGCTTCGACTCCACTTCAGTTGCTTTTGGACGGGGAAAAAAAAAAATAAAAATAACGAACTGGCAGCAAGAATGCTCTACTAAGGAGCGGAGCACGTGTGTTTTGTAAGAGGTAAAAAGAAATGGTTGAATAAGCCTGCTCTCCTCGGTTTAGGAAGAAAATTCCTGCATGCGAAGTGGGAACCACAGCATATACAACATACCGCTGGGGACAGGGCCCATATAACTTCTTTATGGAGTTCTATATATAGTTAAAATTTGTAGGTGCCATAATCCATTTGACAACACAAAGACATCTACAAACTTTAAAAGGCTCCGAGATTGATGATCCTTTTTATCTAAAGAAAAAAAAAATAATAATCCCAAAAGCAAAGAATGTAACCCCCTGGTCAGGGGGAGAGGCAGAGCTGGTGGCAAAGGGAGCTTGGGGGTGCGAGGACGCAGCCCAGCACATCTCTGGGGAACAATCTCTCCTCTCACCACCCACAATGAGGAAATTCTTCTCCAGCAAGTCCTTCCTGTGCGTTGTCTCAATCCCAGGGCTCCTTTCCCAACAAATCCTTCAGGGATGTGGCGCTGCCACCCGAGCGAGGGGCAGGCGAGGCGCAGGGATGCCGGGCACTGGGCACACACACCTGGCTCCAGGGAGATGCTGCAAACACTTGGGAGTTTCTCCAGAAAGAAAAGCCACCCCACCGCGGTTCCTATGGCACCTCAACTCCCCCGTCACCAGGCGAGAGCACTGCAGGGCACAGGGGTCGATGTACCGCTGGCCCCCAGCAATTCCTACGCTGGGAAGTGCCACAGCACCCAAACCAGCAGGTTCCCTTCCCCAAGGAGTGGGACGCAGGCGCTGTGTCCCAGCACTTCCACAAGATCCCACAGAGGAAGAGCAAGAGCCATGCGAGAAGGACAGCACGGGCTGAAAGCTATGTTTCAACATTTTTTTCTCTCTCCTGCAGTTTCTGGCTCAGGCTTCAAATCCTTGTCCAGCCGTGCTCCCTTCCCACACGTCTACCCGCTCCTTTTCACAAGAGTGATGTCTCCTCCTCCTCCCCCAACTCTCCTCCCTCCGCATGAGCCCAGATACAGGAAGGACACCAGCGATGGCGTGAAACCCCCGAGCAAGAGTCTCTCAACTCCCAGCACCTCTCACTCACCTTTGGGAAACTACAACTCCACAGGACATCCGTGATCTACACCCTCCTAATGCAAACGCGGCTTCACACGCTTTCACCAGCTATTCAAGAGAAAGCACAAGAGTTTCCGTTACAAACCCAAAGAAAAACAGGCTTTTGCTTCAAGACCAACCGTTTCTACTTCGGTGTTAAGACCAGCTTCTCATCCTTTTTGGCAAAAGGCTGCAGCCAGCTCAGTGTAACCACCGCTGGCAGAGATGTTCCTGGAGTGGTGGGACCCTGATAAGTTTAAAGGTTTCTGCTATCAGACCCACTCTTCCCAGTCAGTCAAAGGGCAAGACCACATTCAAAGAAAACAAGAAAACAAGCTGTATTTTATACCTATTGCCCAAACAAGTGATAAAGGGTTTTCTCCTCTAACTTAATACATTATATAATGCACATACACAGACCTGGATAACTTCTGCTACAACCTAATGTGTAAGACATTACAGCTTTCCATTCAACGATCACACAAAAGTGAGGATTTGGGGCTGAAAACAAGAGAGATGACAAGGGTAGAAGATTGAAGACAGTTTATAAAGGGTCCCAAACACAGAGCTTTTCCTCTCATGAATTTGCTTTTTTTCCATTTGAAGAGAGTCATCCCAAACATCCCAAGCAAAAGCAGACGCCACTGTAAAAGTCTCTCAACGCCTCTAAGCAAAGGTCGTTCCTTCAGATGGCCCTTCAGGAATTGCTGGGTTTTGCCTTGTTACTTTAAAAATACCACTGTGCTTAATGAAATCCGACACCTAAAAGAATAAGGTTTTACTATATACATTTAAAAATTGAGGGAAAAGGGCTCTAAAAATACACTCTTGAATTTCACAGAATGCTCCATCCGCTCAGGTTTGAGGAACACTTCCGAGCTGTGCTGCAGCTTGCCAACAGAGGAGACCAAACTAAGCCAGGCTTGTGGCAAATAAGACTGAAAAACAAAAAACAAAAAACAAACCAACCCACAAAAAGAGGACAGCCCAGCTCTTCCCCTAGGCTGCTGGTCCTCCAGAACTCCACACGCCTCCTTCAAGGACATTCAGTGTATTCAAACAGCAACAAACCAGATCTGCTGACAAGGAACCAGCATCAGATGGGCCAAACACTACAGAAACTGCACGAAGGGGGCAGGATGGGATGGCAACGCATGCTGGGGAAGAAACCAGAGGAACTGCTAAACGCCAGAATCCATACAAATACTAGTTAAAGCTTGTATTTACAGGGAGGGGGTGCATTCAGGCATCAAACTGAAAAGGCCAAGGGAGCCTCACACGACCGCTCCCCCGTTCAAGAGGACGCCAGCGGTGACGTTCAGGTGTGCTGCAGGAGGGGATGCCCACACCGTGTGAGCCCAGGGCACTACCACTGGGAAGAGAGGGAAGCAGCTTTTCTTTTTAGGAAGAAAGATCTTTCACATCACCCCTGATCTCCTGTCCTCCAAAATCTGTGCCACCAGGAAGGACAAATGCACTGAAAGCAGGTAAAAGCAGACAAGTCCTACAGAGACGACTAAGGCAGCTGGAGCCAGTGTACTCTAGAAGGTATTTTTAAGCTTGGCTGCTACAAGCATGAGAATCTCTCCGATCTTTTTCTGCCAATTCTCTATGTCCTTGGAGACATCACACCAGAGCTCTCCGTGGCGAGGTTCAGCATTCTCACAGCGCTTCCTCACCTCTTCTTGTTGTTCCTATAAGAAGGAGAAACAACAGTTTGCAGCAAGTCTCTTAATGCCCTGTATTTTTCCAGCACAGAGCCAAAATTTTAACAATTCCCTCCCTGATTCAAATACTCTTCCAAAGCTTATAGTGGGGGCTTTTTTAGTGGGTTTTTTGGGGTTTGTTTTTTTTTTTTAAAGGCAGTATAGAAGCCTGAGTCAAAACACAGAGGCAGCAACTTTTCTGCCTTGCTGCACAAACTGGCCAAATTAGAGTCAAGGGAGTTTTGTCTGCACCAGAGAAACTGCAGCAGAAACTTCCTTTGCATTACCACCTGCACGAGATGTCAAGTGAGAGGTCTCTCTGAAGTCAGAAGATAAACACTCCCATCATTTCAGTAATATCAGGCAGTAAAAACTACCATAAGAGATTAGAACAGACTGTTCCTCCGGCCAAGTTCATGTGCAACCTGTACTTGACACTTGTGAAGAAACGGGACGAGTTACACAAACCCAGCATCGCAATTACAGAAAAATCTATGGGAACTCTTGCGTTTCACAGAGGGAAGATTGATTTCATAGATTTTTGCACGAACTAGCATGACTGCGGACAGCAAAGCAGCCTGAAAGACAGCTCAGCTAATGGCAGAGCCTTTTCAAAAGCACCACACAGGCCTGTTCATGCTCATTCATGACCAGGCGTGACAGCTACAGCCTCATGTGAGCCACACAGGCGGCGGCAGCGCGCTCAGCCCAGCGCCACAGCAATCCCCGGGAGCTGGTAACCGACAGCTGCCTTCCCCAGCCCCCTGTTCCCAGGCACACACTCACCTCCGTGCCATGCTGGAGCTCAAATTTGTAAAAGAAAGCCCAGGCATCCCCCAAGTCGGAGTCTATCTTCACGGTTCGGTGGAACCATTCTCTGGCCTTGGTTATTTTCCGCTCGCTCCAGAACAGCCTGTTGAGAAAAGCAAGAGCCAGACGACAAACAGCCTCTTTAGAGGAACATGCCAATCTGAAAGCACTCCACCTTGAAGGCTCTACAGATATTTCAATTCTTTGCTCTCCCAAGAAAGAAACAGCAGATTTTGTAGGCATCTGCTGACTTCCCCTGGGAAGGGACGAGATACGAGGACCAAAAGAACATTCCTCTTTGCTCTCCCCGCAGCGAAGCGGGTTACTTAGCCCCAGGAGGAGACAGACAGCCCTGAGAAGGGAAGTGTTACTCCGAGCTCAATCGCTAACTCGATTGCTTAATTTTGCTGTTCTAGATTTGGTGTAGAAAGAGACAGGAGCGTATGCCTACATCTATTTCCCCCTCCTCCAATTTCTTAATATTTCGAGTCGATTTTAGCACGTAACAATTCAATAACTTCCAAAAGCTGAAAACTGCAGCACCTTCCTGGAGCCATGGCTGCGTGTGGTCACACGTTCTCATCCATGAGGCGTGCTCTAAGTGGAGCAGAGCCCCCCTGTCAGCTCCACTTTACGGGGAAAAGCGAGCACATAAGCTTCCGCGCTCAAATCCCAGCCTGGCACCCAGCCCAACCTGCTGCCATTTCAAAAAGGTACTTGTGAATTCTGAAATTTCTCCCCAGTAATTAACCAGCTGAGTCAATAGTCTCTTGGTTTCACTCCTTTGCATTAAAGAGTTCATCTGAGCTAGTAAGGTCTTTATCAAATGAGACAGCCATCCCTCATAAAGAGCTTAGCCAGTCATAAAATTATACAGCTTATGTGATTGTTTTTAAGCCCTATAATACCCTTGATTGTTCCATGTTAAATAAACTGTGATTTAAAAGAACACGAACAACGATAGCAGAGGCTCAACACCTGCAAGTAGTGGCCATTTTCAGCAACACGTTTAACAAAAGTGTTTCACATCTGTGTGACGCTATGGTATTACTGTACCTACATGCAAGTCGTGATGGAAGGTGGAAGCTGTTTGTGTTGGGATTAGCTGCTAAACTGTCTGAGGTTGCACCAGAAGGGGCCTGGAAGCAGTTTCCATAAAGCAAAAGTTAACATTTCTCTCACTTGCTGCTAGAGCTGAACAAGTCAGCTGTCATTATCTGGCAGAACCCAGTGTTGCAGTCACTGGAGTGTATCCTACAGTTTTCTTTGGCTTATAAAAAAGAGTTGTGAAAGAATTGGGCAACTGTTTGGGCAAAATGCTTCCCGCGTTAACCTCTTCTGGTATTCACAAAGGAAAAAAGTTTGTCCCAATCACGACTGCTGTAGAGTCGCTCACCCATCAGATCAGAAAGGACGTGGCGTGAGTCAATTCTAACGGTGGCTTTTCATCACAGGAAACCTCAAAACTGTATCTAGACAGGACAACAATTCTTAGTAGATTATCTTCCCGTTTCAGAGAAGCAAACTACAGTATGACTGATAGTCTGTGTTCCAGGAAGGGCCACAGCTGAATAAAACTGACACTGCAGAAATTCAGGAGGGGAGAAGAGAACTGCACAGAATTTAGCTCAGGATTAAAAAAAAAAAAGTCTGATAGGTCTACGATAGAAACAATGAAGAATACACAGTCAGCCAAATATAAATTGAAAAATACCCAGCAAAAATCATCCCTAGTTTCACAAATACATAAAACATAACCTACAAAACTTATTAATTAAGCCTAGTTCATCTGAAAGCACACCAAAATCCCTTTTAAGGGACAGAAAGGGCAATTGTCAGAGTGTCAATACTCAGCACTGGAGAAGGGCTCTGTGTGACCGAATTGCTGCCTGTGCCACAGCCCCAGCCCCATCCGAAGAGCTCGAGGGCAGGTTGACATCCCCTGCTTGGAATCAAGGGAGAGAACTGCACCGTTACTAGGAGACAGCTTGAGAGCTGTGACTTGCTTTGGGGCTTATTAGGGCTGCTGCAGCCAGAATCACATGGCCGTGCTCGAGCGCAGTGTTTCATCATGGATCCAGCCACACACAGAAACGGGTGGTTTTAATACATCAAGCACAGGAACTCACTTGGCTACAGCCAGCAGGACGTGTGGGTCATGTTCACACTTCTTGAGAGCATCCACGCTCTTGGTCTTTCGTTGCGGTCGCGCTTCAAGGAAAATCGCCTCTGACCACAGGATTCCTTAATGAAGTCAAGTAGGAAGATTGTTTAGTGTTATTTCTGAGATTAACCCTCCCCATCCTGTCGCCAGGCCAGTGGTCTCCAACACAAGCAGTGTTACTGCCCCCTCCCTGGTGATTTTCACAGAACCATCACAGTTGGAAAAGCCTTCGAAGCTCCTCCAGCCCAACCACGACCCTCCCCCTGACCGTTCCCAACTCCCCCAGATCCCTCAGCGCTGGCTCAGCCCGACTCTTCAACCCCCCCAGGGATCCCGGGGACTCCCCCCTGCCCTGG